GGTGATGTACAGAAAGAGAAGAAAAAAAAGAAAAATTTTGAAATGAAAAAAATATTTTTTAGAATCCATCCTTGGCAGATAACTTTATTTTCTGAACAATTTTTTGCAATAACGATTTAGAAATTATGGGAATGGACGCAATGTGTGGGGAAAATCATTATGGGTACATGAATTAAAAAGAATGTTTTTTCAGGCTGGAGTTCTGAGACATCAGTATACAAAGAACGGCAGTTAGTCAAAAAGACTCATTCCTTATATTCCAGTTGGGAGAGCTTGAATTTATAAAAACATTTCATTTAAATCCCAATCATAAGAAAAATAGTTCTTTAGTTTTAAAAGATATATATTTTTAATTCACTTTAAACAGGGAGCTATTTACATGAATTTTCTTTCCCCTTTATAAAATCTGAAAATAATGTCCGATTTTAGCCCATAAATTCCAAAATTTCCAAATTAGAAATTTGTTCATTTAAATTTTAAAATCTGAAATTGAATAGAATTCAGAAACAAACCTACATGGAAGTAGAATAAATTTCCGAAATTGTATTTAAAAGAAGAAACTATCTGTTACAAAAAAATAGAAACTTCAAATAGTGATAGAAAAAAAAAATTTTTTTTTAACTTTTTTGAAAGTTTGGAAAATTAACTATTTTGCTTTGGAAATTTTGAAACATATAACTGATTTTCTACTTTTAAAATTGATTTTTATAATTATAGTTTGAAATTCCAAAGTGGTTGGGCCATCTTCAACATGAAAAAAGAACAAGAACTGAAATTTTCAACATCATATGCTTTCTGATGAAAAAAGGAGGAGAATAAGAATCAACATTTAAAATAAAAGAATTTTAAATTCAAACCCTTTTTATTTTAAGAAAAGAAAATAATAAAAGATAGGAAAGAAAAGGGAATTTGATTATAGAGAAGAAAAAGAGAAAATGTTGAAGAATAGATTGAAACTTTATTCCACATTAAAAATAATGGGGAAAAGCCTAAGTTCACAAGGCTGGTGGAAACTAATTTCCGATTTTTTTCCAAATTCCATATGGAAAACATGTATTTGATGATAAGAATAGTAATCATTATTTTAAATGGAATGAATTCAAATCCTTGTTTGAATTTGAAGATAATTGGCTGATTTCTACATCCTCATCACAAATGACCTTTGACTGGAAAATGAGAGTAATGGCAAATAGCTTTTGCTCCAAACCCTAAATATTCCAATTTATTTTGAGGGAAGTTGATATTGCCATTTTGAATACCAGAAAAAATTCAGTTTTTTTCCCCAACTTCATTTTGGTTCATATTAAATTGTAAAGAAATACATAACAATTGTCACTATCAATTTCCATGGCAAAGTTTGGATGAGTCCTATTTAATTTTTAAGGAAGCAATAAGAGTTGAAACTGTTTCAGAATATCCAACTAAGGAAAAAATTTTTTTTTTGTAATAATAATGGATAATAAAATTTAATAGAAGCTTTATTTTTAATTTTATTTTAGCACTGAAAAAAATTTTAAATAAAATGGATGGTGAATCTGTGTTTTTTTACTAAGATGCAAGGGTTCACTGAGATGAAGGGGTTACTGAGAGAAAAAGAAAAACATCAAGGAGAAAGAACAATAAAAGAACAGGAATTAAGAACACAGAAGATAATGATTGACATTGCATTTAAATTTTTGAAGATCAAAGTTGACTGGAATGCAAGAGATGAGAAAAGAGTTCCATAAATGAAAAGTGCAGGAGAAGAAACTATTTGCATAGAACTTACAGCTATATCTAGCCATCTGAACTATAAAAGGATGAGACTGCTACCAATGTGCTGTGTCCTTTCAGGATGTAGGCAATCATGGTTCTCCACCTCCCTCTATCCCTTGCAGCTCTCAAAAAATTCCTTCCCTCTGCCACCTCCCCCAGATCATGTTCTGTCATCCACTTGCTTAAGGCTACTTATGCATTGTTTTCCCTTGTCTTGCTTTCCCGCTATTTGACCCTTGACTATCAGATTCTCCAGGCCCTCCTTCCTCATCGTGTCCCAGAAACTTCAGCTACCTCTTCCTGATGTTAAGTATAAGCCTCCTCCTTGTTTGCATCCTCTCTAAGACCTCATCGTTGCCCACACACTTGCTGTGCTTATTATTCATAAAGTCAAAGTACCAAAAAGGAAAGGTCATCAGAACAATTACTGCAAAAGTATTTATAGAAAAGGCACAGGGAAGCTACGTTATGGCAGTGTGAAAGTGAACTGAACCCTTTAGTTAATCTATGGAGGTAGAGTGTTCTTGTTCCAATGTCCATGACTCAGGATAAACTTGTCTTGTTCCCAACTAGGAAAATAGCTTAGTGGATCAAAGCAGTGGTTTGTGATATTGGTGATACAGTAATTCTGAGTTCAATCCTTGGGATGGGCAGTGTGTTCTTGGATTCAGTGTAAATGGGGTAACAATAACTGAGAAATACTAAATAAGAATTAGAAAAGATATCCCCAGACATGGTCAGTGGAATGAGAACAATTTACCTCCATATATTAAATAAAGTGTTCAGTTCGAAAATTACTTGACTGATTGATTTGTTTTTTATGGTTTATCAACCTTTTGTGGATTATTTAAAGCCAAAATATATTTTGAATTGTAAGAATAACTTTGGGGGATAACAATAATTTTTACAAATACAAGTTTTATTATTTAACCCACAACTGGAGGGGGGAGATGGATTCATACCTTTCCCAAGAGTATTTGTATATAAGTGAAAGTAATGAACTTGACTGGAATTTGAACTCAACACTCTGATTTCTTATTCCAACCTGCTATCCCTTACATCACCCATCCATTCATGAAATTCCCTGAAGGTTACTCAGATCGACAAGCACCTGATGAAGGCTGGAACGCTTAACAGTGGAAATTTTTTGATAATAACAAAGATGAGGATATTAGTTTGAATCTAAATAATGATGACTATTCATTCTAAAAATTCAGACATAAATTGACAAAATTTAAATTAAAATTATTATAAGAAATTTAGTAAAAAGCAAAAAAAGTCGTCTGAACTAAGAAGCTTTCTGAAAATTTTGTTATCCTTAGTAATTCGGCGAGACAAGATGAGCGTTCTACATTGACATAAAAATTATAAAATTAAAAAAAATTTAGTTACTGTTATGGTAACTTACACACATACACATGGACTCTCCCAGCTATAAATAGGAGCAGGTACTGCCTTTTTTTTCAGCTCTGACAGTCAAACCGAACATTCTTGTTGTAACACTCTCGTTTGTATATGTTTGTATTACTGATCCTGTTAATATATTTGTTTAACTCAATTCCTCTCTTTTTTTGTCTTTATTTCTGGCCCTAACAAGGCCACAACAATTACAATAATGGATAAAATTTAAATGTTTTAAAATTAAGTGATAAAGTATCATTCTTTGGTATCATAGACTTGGCTTGCTATTGCTAGACTAGGTTAGCAGTTGCTAGGCTAGCTGTTGTCCCTCTCACCCCTCCGCCAGTTGGCCTATGATTCATCTGAACTTTATGGTTTAGTACAGTTTATTTATTTACAATTTGTTTTTACTCTTATTTTATTGTTTGTAAACTACATTTCTTGTTTATTCACATGTTATTCATTTGTAAGAAACCCCAAAATACAAAAATAGGGGCAAGATTTAGGAAAATAATGTTGATTTTTTTGGGGCCTGGAATGGATCGGAAATATTCCCATTAATTTCAGTGGGGAAAATTGATTTGAGATATGAGCTTTTTGAATTACTAACTTGGTCTTGGAATGAATTAAACTTGTATCTCAAAGCATTACTTTACCAAGGAATAGAAAAACTTTGCTAGAAACAAAGAAAGAATACTAAACTGTGATGTGATATATGTCTTCCTGTATGGCAGTGAGTGCTAAACAATCTCCTCAAAGATGAAGACACTTGAAGCAACAGAAATACAGTTCTACAGATAGATACTGAATAGGGCAATTTAATATGATGCAATAATAAAAATTGCTATTATTCTCACAACATTCATATATTTTTGTCATGTCTTTTATAACTTAATGCCTTATAATTATTATATAAAATAGAAACTTAAAAGACCCACTATTACTAACAAGTAGATTTTTAGAGGAGTGTTCAAATTACAATGGTTGTTTATATTAAAATCATCATCCCTTAATTTGTTCCTAGCAGAATTCATACTTGTTTGTTTTTGTTTCATTAATAACAGAAAAAAAAAAAAAATTAACTATATCTTACAATCTTATTACTGATGTATCTCAATTAATAAGGTAAAATGCAGCTTATCTGAACTGTTGGGGTTGAGGTGGGGGATTATAATTTCAATTGCTACTTTTTGATATATTGCATTCATTTTATCTGAATAAAATAAATTGACAAACTCTTCTGGATTTAAATTATAAACTTTTAAAGCAATTTCATATCTAAATGTATCAAAAACAAGGATTTTCTGGTGCTTCATATTAGATAATCTTTCAACTAAATGCTCAAAATTGGTGCAAGTTAGAAATCTACTTTTTGGTGTCAGTACTTATACCAGTATCCAACTTGCTCTGGGTGATACTTTTTGATATTAAAAAAAAGTTGAAAATCAACCTACCCTACTGAGTATACTGTGATCTGAACAACAATGAAGTTTTACAGAAAATGGAAACAAAAAGGAAACTTATACTTAACATCATGGGGTTTCTAGGTTGTATAATGAGGAAGGAGGTCTTGGAAAATTTGTTACTCACAGGACAGACTGAAAGGATGGAGGAAAACAACACATAACATACTTAGTGGTCTTGAGTAAATTGAATGGCCAAACAGGGTTTAGGAGAAACAATGGACAGGAAGTTGTGGAGAGCCATAATCGCCTACATACTAAGGGGATATAGTAAATAATAAAGAAGATCAAGTGATACAAGTATCATTTAATGGTATTGTCCAGATCAGAAATTATGGGGAAATTCAACAGTCTATGGAATCACTGACTAATCTATTTGGATCACAATATAACCAAAATGGCTGGAGATAATAATGGGTGAAGAAGAAGATGATAGAAATAGAGAGGAAAAAAGAAACATAAAAAGTAAAAGAGAAAAAGATTGAGAGAGAAAAAAGATAAAAAGAAGAAAAACAAGCTAAAGTAGCTACAGCAGTATAACATGAATAGAGAAGGAAAAAGAGAAATGGAGAGATCTAAAAAAAAAAAGAAAGAAATAAAAAAGATAAAAAATAAAATGAAAATGGAAGAAATAGAAAAAAGAAGAAAAAGACAAAAAGGAAAACTAAAATAAAAAGAGGAAGAAATAAAAATAAAAAGAGGAAGGAATAAGAGGAAAAAAAGATGAAAAATAGAAAGAAAAATGGAAAGTTTTATAAATAAGGTAGAAACAAAAAAGACAAAAAGAGAAGGAAAAATGTATGTTTTACAAAACAGAATAAGAAGAAAAAGAAAGAAAAAGAAAAAAGATAAAGAAAAATGAAAAATTTTATAAATAAGGAAGAAAAAGAAAAAACAAAAAGACAATGAAAAATGTATAGTTCTATAATAAGGAAAGAAACAAAACAAGGAAAGAGATAAAAAAAAGGAAATGAATGTTTCATAAATAAGAACGAATTAAAAAGAAAAAGTAGGAAAAGGCAAAAATGAGAAATAAAAATAGAAAGTTTTATAAATAAGAAATAAAGAAAGAGGCAAAAAAGATAAAAAGAAGAAAGAGAAATGGAGGCTTCTATAAATAAGAAAGAAAAAGAAGAAACAAAAAAAGGAGATAGAAAAATGTAGTTCTATAAATAAGGAAGCAAAAAGACAACAAATTGAGTTTTAGAAATAAGAAAGAAATAAAAATATCAAGTAAAGGAAAATATTTTAAAAAATGATCTAAAAGGAACAAGACATAAGATGGAGATGATAATCAAAGTGTTAAGTGCTGACGTAATACGTTTACAGCAAAGAGAGTATAGAAATTATTTATTTGCAAAATCACCTCTGGGCCAAAATTGAAGAAGGATTATTTGCAGGTGAAGATAAGAATCTTAGCAAAAGGTAAAATAATCCTCAGAACCTTTACACCTGTCCACCCATCCTAAACATGCTGCGTTTTGATGCAAGAGGAAATCAAATGTTGCACATGGCCAGTAAATCAAAAGACACTCCAAGATTAATCAGATGATCATATTCTTCCTGTCTGCACACGCCTTCTCCACTCCTTGTTGGTTTAAGTCACAAATCAAGTAGCTCTTCAGTGAATCTCTGCAATTTCAGGTGCTATAACCAGAATAGATTCTGAAGACAATTTTATTTTTGGATTTCGTGTGGGCTAGCCTGCAGATGCACGATAAGAAAACCTCTAGCATTAACACACAAAGGATTGAAAAAAAAAAAAGGATGGCATTTCTCTTAGTCATTATCTTTTTCTGGCATTACTTCATTCTCTTGCCCTGATATCATTTTAACATGGGTAAATGATCCAACTGAATATAAATTACATTTCCTAGAAATACCCATGAAAATTTCATGGTGTTCCTATTTTAATTTTCTAAAGAATATTAATTCTTAAGTTAATGATTGAATAAACTCATGGCAAGTTCTATGACAATAAAATATCTGTAGAAATTCCCCTATCGCACCGTTAAATGTTTGAGCTTAACAAATTTAACAAATTATTGCAATGACAATCATAAATATGAATCATTATTTTAAGAAGTGGGTACAAATGAAAAGATTTGAAATTGAAAACTTTTTCCATTTCACCAAAACAGATTCTTTCATTTTTTTTCTTTCCTTTTCTGACTGAAACCAAGTAGTGTCTGTGATATGTCTTTTCCTGTTTTTCCATGCCTGATCAAAACAGAATAGTCTATTTTTTTATGAGGTATTGGCAGGAAATGTTAAACATTTCTATCTTCCCTTTTTTTCTTTCCTTTTCTAACTGAAACCAAGTAGCATTACTGATTTGTTTTCTTCATCTTTCCATATGCAATCAAATTGGAATGATCCATTTCTTTTATGAGGCATTGGCAGTGGGTGTAACAGTCATGATAATTAAGGGAGGGACAAGCAGAATTATAATAAGATATTTGCAGTTTTTTTATGTAGTTTGAGATTAATGCTGGTTTTTTAAACAAGAGCCTCCTTCCCTGATCACTACAAATCTTGACTTGTTGAAATTTAGGGATGACGATTATCTTCCCCATATATGAGTGGTTCCTGGGCCTTGTACAGAGTAACCATCATTGTAAAAAAAGACAGGATCTTAAATTTTATTCTTTTTCCTCACACATTTCCAAATAGAGTTTTGATAAATAAATAAATAACCACAACTAGGTGTGTGGCTGAGTTAGCAGTATTCGAACCATGTTCAAATCTCAATATAGTCAATTTATCTTAACTTCTTTTAGTCTAAGATTAACCATTATCTTTCCTGTATAACCCTATGATCCTCATTTCCTGCCATGTCTTACACTAATATAACACCAGACAGTAACCCTCTTCATCGAGTGGCTCTTGAGCATTGTATTAAGCGAACGTTATTATATAAAAAAAAAGGTGAATTCATGATAATATTAGCTTGGAAAGATGATCTCAGCATGCAGCACCCTTACTACAAGTTGACTCCAACCTTGTGAGTGAAGTTGGGTAGATAGCTCTCTCCGGAGGTCATTAATAGTCAAAGACACAAGTCATCATGACTGAGGATTTTGAGTATATTGGCCTTGATCATAGCAGATTTTAAGTGTTCTCTTCCATAAACAATAACTAAGATCTGGTCAACATTGTTGCAGCATAAACCACAGGCAGGGTCTATGGGTGTTGAACAAACACAAATGTGTCTGAGTAGGCGTCTGCAACAGGGATTAGTTAGCTGCTTTAGCATATGGGTGTACTCAGAAACAAGTTGCCAGCCATTATTAACAATATTCTTTAAGGATTTAGATCTTTCACAAAACTTACACATCACTTCAGTTCTTATTGTTTGAGGTCTAAGTTTATGGATGAAACCTTATTTTCTGTTATTTAAAGAGAAATGCAATTTAAAAAAAAAATTATCATGGCTGAGGTTTTGAGTGTACTGGCCTGGTTCAAATTGGTGATCACACAAGTTAAACACCCTGTCCCAGAAACTGTAACTAAGGTCTGCTGAACATAGTTTCAGTAAACTACAAATTGGCTCTGTGGGTGGGGAATAAATACAAGGAAGTGTCTGTAACAGGGAGTAATGGGAAGTCAGCCATTAACCATCGACTTGAATAAATGAATCACTACCTAAAAGATCTGCCTTCTATTTTTAGAATTAAATTTCAAAAAACAATTTACTGACAAATAAAAATACAACAGGACATAGTTAAATTAAAAATTCATAAGGTTTAAATTGGATTGGCCAGTTGTGAATCCACAATTGTGGTTTATATATAGGAAATTATTGAATTGATTTCATTAATTTGCTTCTAGAAGACACATTTTATGTATAATGGATTCAAAATATGTTAGTTTTAAGGTGATTAGCTGCTGTCCAAGAGAAAATCTTCTGTACATATATATAAATATACAATAACATAACTATTCATTCATTGATACAATTTTGAAAAATGGCCTCTTGTAATACCAACAAAATTAAAGAGAGGAATAAATCAGCAATTCCAGAAATTTAAATTACTTCTATTTACATATTTTAGCAGTAATAATTTTTGGTCTGTAAAAATAGATGCAAAATTGGTTAAATCAAGAACAGACTGGAATCTAATAGAAAGGTAAGTTTTCTTTTTATATTTTTATTTTTCATAAGGAAAAAAAATGAAAATAGACTTTTGGTTATTTTTTTTTAATGTTAAGCAAATACATTTTATTAGTTAATAACAAAGTTATATATATATATATATATATATATATATATATATATATATAGATAGATAGATAGATAGTGTATTGGGATAGAAGATCATTATTTAAAGACACATTGGGAAATATAACAGACAATGAATGTCTATTATGTTTCATCATGAGTTGTTCTAAACTCCATATATTTGCTTTAATTTCAGGTGAAAATAAAGACAAAAATTGTCCAACATTTGGATATTTTTTTTATTAAGCTGTTCCTTGATCTAAGCTTTCACATGAGCCATCTTCAGAATAATCTGATAGAACCACATCAAGAATTTATGACTTGCATCTGCTATTCTGCAACCGTTATCGCCACATAGCAATCTTCTATGTCAACATAACAGAATATCATATTTGATAGTGAATATCTTTGTTTAAATGTCCACATAACCACTCTGAAGATGACTCATGTGAGCTGAAATCTTAAACCAATGAAAAGCTTAATAAAATATATCCAAATGTTGGACAATTTTTGTCTTTATTTTCACTTGAAATTAAAGCAAATATACAGAATTTAGAATGGCTCATGATCAATCATAATAGATATTTGTTGCCTGTTACATTTAACAATATATGTTTAAATATAAATAATATGAAAGACCAATGAGATTTCTATAATTCAGAGCACTTAGCATTTATTTTTATTTTTACAAAAACAGTAGAGCATAATATTCATAGCATCGCTTGATAATGGAATGGAACATATGGCCTGAGAACTGCATATAAGCATGAAACAGACTGTCACTGCTGGGTGTTGACTTTGATGTCAAATTTCACACATAATGATATATTTCATTATGCAATGCAAGAGTTGTAGATCATATTAGAATTAAAAATCTATAATAGTGTAGACATTTTTTTTGTACTGGTCACAAACAAATAATATTTAAACAAAAGAGTATCTTTATCTAAGACAATGTTTCTCCTTCACATTCTGAAATTAAATGGAACAGCATTCAGATTTTCCAGATATTAATCCAATAGAAAATTTTTCATCTATAATTAAAAGAGATGTATATATGAGAATGGAAAACAAGCAAAGAAGATCTATAGGAAAGAATAAAAACAGTTGCAAGTAATGTTAAATGAGAAACAGCAGGAAAGTTAAAATCAATGATTAA